GGCCCCGCAGGCCCCGCTCCCGGAGCCCCTCCCGCCCGCTCCCCGCCTCCCTCCCCTTCTCCTGGGAGAGCTCCCGGACGGGACGTGACCGTGGAGCTCCCACCGCCCTTCCGCGGTCCCAGCACCGCCTGAGGGGAACGGGGGGACGGGGCCGCGCGGAGGGGCCGCGCCGCGGCTGAGCGGGCAGAGCTTGCGGGACCGCTGCCGGATTGAAAAGGCGGGCTGTGATTGGACGGCGCCGAGAAAGGCGGGCCGGGATTGGCGGGCCAGACGCTGCCTCGGGCCCGGATTGGCGGGGCTTGGAGCCCCCGGGGCCGCGGCCGCGGGTGGCGGGAGGTGCTCGGGTGGTCGGGAGGAGGGACTAGGGCCGTGTCGGAGGGACCCTTCCCGCGGGTCCGTGGCCGTCCCGGGTCCCCCCCCAGGACCCCGTCCCCTGCCCCGCCCCTTGGTCGGGCTGCACCCCCGGGGTCCCGGCCCCAAGGCCCCTGCAGAGCCCCTCGGGGAGCCCCCCACCGGCACACGGGGCGGTTCCGGGGCGCGAAGGCGGACTGTGCGGCATGGGGGACCGGGGAGCAGCGGCGACGTGGTGGGCCGGGAGTCGGCGGCGGGGAGCGGGGAGGACGCAGAGCGGCAGCGCGCCTCTGACCGCCTCTCCCCACGCAGCAGTTCTGCTTCTGCGGGGACTGGGTGCTGGCTGAGATCAGCTCCCTGGCCGAAATCTTTTAAGTGCCCGCCCCCACCCCCATCCCCCTGCCCGCCCCAGGCCCGCTGCCCACCCTCCTTCTCCTGCGCAGTCCCCGCTGCTGCTGAAGTTCAGCGCTATTTCAGTACTTGTTCTACTTGTGGTTCTGAAAAAAAGTTAGAATCAGGATAGCCAAAGCAACATAGAAAGTCTATTCCATCTTCAACTCCATTACAGGGCAAAGGAAATAAAGTGATCCTACCCATCAGCGGAACAGGGAAAGAATGAAGATTAAGTCTGTGAGCTATATAAGAGAAAAATCACACTGTAACAACTTAGAAGATTGCTCCAAGACCACAGTCACAGGAAAAGGGAAGAGAGCCAGGGGCAGAAACTGTAAGGCCAAAAAGATGATGGACACATCTGTGCATCAATCAGGTTCAGAGGTCACTGCATGCCCCAAGCCTAACGAGTTCTCTGGTTTATGTGTGTTATACACCTCTTAATTACTTGAATAGAAAATTTACAATTGAACTTTCACAAAGGTTACAGAGTGATATCCCCGCGCTGACCATTGCAGTGGAGCTTCTGCTACAGATTCTGACACGTCAGGTGACTGAATGTTTGCTTGTTTTCTAGGCTCTCCTTACAGTGCATCCAGGTCATGAAATATAGAGGGGATTTCTTGAGAGGCAGCTTTTAGACCTCATTCCCTTACCTTCATGGTCAATGCCATCAGCGTCACTCTCCCTGTCTTCTCGCTCTTCATCGAGAGTTCCTCGTGTTAGTATTAGCTCAGAGGGACCCCTTGCAGAAGCATCAGGTCCTTGAAGGGAACAGAAACGGCTGTACACAAACCAGCTTGCTAAAGGTAAGGGAGCGTGTGCACTGACAACTTCTGTCTGCACAGAAACACAGCAATGAACACCTGCTCTAAGGGGACAGAAAGCTGCTTGTGGATCCCAGACACAGGACAGACTCCATCAGCACCTACTCGCCTCATCTAAGGAACAGTGCAGCCAACAGCAGAGCTTTCTCATATTCTGATCTGACCGTTTTGCCTTTTCTAAAGTATTTCATTATTTCTAGTAGGTCCACTGCTTTAGCTACACAGCGGGGATTCTTCCAAACCTGTGACTGACACAGGAAGAGCTAAGTGTGACCAATCCCACAGGAACTAAAGCCCCGCTCCTCTAACATGGAGCTGCTTTCACACTTCTGCTGTGAGGACAAAGAAGCACTGTACTACTTCACAAGGCAAACTCTTCAGGAAACTTCTGCAGTAAACTTTATCCTCCCGGGGAGGTACCTGCCAGTGTGCTGCCCTGCACACACACGCTGCCCATGTCCTTCCACAAGTGTTCCAGCTGCTCTCTCTTTTGTTTATTTTGAGCTTTCTCCCGTAGATAAAGATTTACATATGGATTCTGAGAACATTTAAAACATCAGGAGAAGAGAAACCTCACCCAAACCCAGCAGCCTGTCCCCCAGTCAGAGAGCAGAAGTCACTGTGCAGGTCTTACATTTCAACTAAGGTTACACAGAACTTCTGACTAAGCATGGAAAGCAACCTCCAGTCAGGTGGGATTCTAGGACGTTTTCAGCAGCGCCGGGAAGCCAAACTCTGTGTAGCTGTGCCTGCAGAGAATTGTCCTTTGGACAGCCAGAACTCAAGGTGAGCAGAGCTACTGATTTTGGCACTGCAGTTCAGTCTTTCTTACTAAGTCAAACTAGTACTCTTCACCGGTGCAGGAAGATGCAGGGATAGTCTCAACAAATCTCTTTGGAAATTTATTTTTAAGAACTCTCTATCCATCTGAATAGAAGACACAATCTTATTTCCCAATCATTTTCACACAGTTAGCTCAAATATTAGCACTAAAACAGTGAGCAACATCTGTTTTACAAAATCTTTATTTTTGTAAAGATATGCTCCACCACATCTAGGAAAAAAAAAGCAAATGGTGGACTCCTTCAGGACAGGAGTTTTCCCACAGTGAGTACGACTAGTAAATGAAATGTTAGACCCTCTCAACATAAAGGCAACTGCATAAAAGTGACCCAAGATACACTGTTCAGGTACAAAACAGCTAAAAACACTTACCGGTGTTTTTCTCAGGCGCTCGTATTCTGGACGATACTCTCTGAAAAGGTGAATAAAGGGAGTGCATTCAGTCTGAAAAACACAGGATTTGTATTGCATAAGGATCATACTGGAGGTTTCTTTTTACTCAAAAAAAAAGTTTTCTCTAGGCTTTCATGTTTGAGAGACATTTCAGAAAGACTAACAGTACTTTTTTCCCCAGATTTGGATTCAGAAACCAATGGATGCAAAATCAATGAACAGACTTCATTAAAACAGCAACAATTCAAAACTTGGTATGGAATTACAAGAAAAAAATTACTTCACAGACTTGCTGGCACAGATAGCTTTTACTTTTTCACGGAACAGCACAAAAATTCATCTCTGAATAGTTCCTTTTTACTGCTGCTTTTTATGCTGATACTGGACACCCTAGGCTACCTTGGCTATGGCAGCTGTACACTCCTTCAAATCAAAGGAGCAGACTCATGAGTCAGGACCTTCAGGGAGTGGTCACTGGGTCGCGGACCAGAAGTCATCCCCTTACCTCTCCTATTCATCTACAGCTTTAGAAAGCTGGGTAAAAACTCACCCGGTCCTGTGCCAAACACTGCAGGAACACCAACCACCTGGAAAAGAAAACACACCAAAACTAGAGAGTAACTGAGCCAGATTTTTAATACAGAAAAAAACCCAAATAAAAACAAACAAATGAACAATCCCCCACAACGACAACAAAAAAATCAACACCACCGAAAAACCCAACAACAACAAACTACTAATCTAAACCTAACAACACCCATTGAATCAGCACAGTGGCCTAAGAGTGGGCAGTAACACTTGTGCTTCTGTCCATCCCGCTTTCAAACTCTTCCTCCACTTGCTGTTCACGTTTGTTACTTCTGCTTTTTGGTTGTCAGTGATTTTCTGTTTGGTGAGTTGTTGGGGTATTTTGGGGGGTGTTTCTTTGGGGAAGGAGGTTTGTTTGGTATTTTTTAACACTGTAGGGCAATTCAAAAGAAAGGTCAAGTCTTTCTGCTGTTGACTTGTTTATTGTTAATAACCCAAGTTCTCATTCTGCATCTAGGGTTATAAGTGGTTAGCAAGTATCAGTGTACTAGAATTAAAGTGCAAAAGAGACAACAAGAACTGACCTTTTGGCTCTGAAATAGTCTAATACTTTTTATTTAGCCAAAGCACATTTAAAAGGTCCCCAGAACAGCAAGAGAGGGAGAATTTAATCAGTTGCTATGACAATACATTCAAAATGCACATCTACTTTCTAATTTCAACTTGTCTCTCATTGCACTTCTGGCCATTTGTTCTGCTTGTGTTAAATCAATTCTCTAAAAATACCTTGAATTAAGACTATTACCAGCCAGAATCCTACACCCTCCAATGAAAATTCTCCCTCTTTTTCATAGGCAAGACAGTCTCAACTACTGACTTCCAAATGGAAGATCTTTCCCAACACAGCCTTGCATTTGATCATTAATACAGTAAATATGCAGACAGCTCTCCAAAGGATTTTAAGCATTAAGGCTAGGCACTGTGCCAATATATATAAATATTTATACTTTCCCTGCACCTAAGTACAAGCTGCCTTTTACTCCATAATCCTCTTCATATGACCTGCTCTCCATCCAGCGCTCCAACAGTCCTGACAGGCAGATAAATACGACCTGATCAGCAAATAAGGAACAGGAAGTATGTTAGTTCTGTATATGGGACCACTACAATCCCTTTTGAAATTCTGTATATTGTTCCACACAGGACACTTACAATATTTTTGTTTTGGCTCTGTTATCATTATCTACATGAATGGAATCATTCAGTTCCTGGAATATCCACACAGCCAAGAAGGCTTGCTTTTTCTTTAGTAAAAGCTGATGACAAACACAATCAGCTAAAACCGTTAGCACAGACTATGGGATCATTAACAACCTCCAATGTATAGTGTTGTCAGAGAAACAATTAATTTGTCCTCTCAAAACCTGGTTGAGTGGAAGAACAATCTTCTTCTTGCACAAGCAAATATAAAGGGGTTTTTTTGTTCATTTATTTGTTTTTGAGATTTTTTCCCTTCTTCCTGTGTAGTACATTGCCCAACTGTACTTGACACTTTCAGAACAAGGAAAATTACCTCAGGTGGGAAATGCTGCAGCAAAGAACACTGCCTCTTACCAGCCTATCTTAGCTTTCGTCTCGTGATTAACCACAGTTCAATATTAAATTATTCAGGCTGCCATTCAGTGTGACAAGCTGCAGTGTGACCTCAACACAGGTCATCAACAGATTACAGTTCAAAAGGGCAGTGCAAAGCTCCTTTACAGAAGGACAGAATGGTGGGGGTTGGACAATACCTCTGGAGATCATCTAGTCCAATCTCTGCTGCTCAAAAAGCGGGATTAGGTAGAATAGGTTGCTCATGACTTTGCCTGAGCAAAAGTGTTTTAAGCATCTCCGGAGATGGAGACTCCACCATTTCTCTGGACCAGTCCAGACGAGGACTTCTCAAGTTATTGTTTTCAGTGGGAAGGTAGGGACAGAAACAAGCGATCCCAAAACTTCAAACCCATCCCCACAGCGGTCCGGAGCAGCTCGAGCCCAGGCTCCTGCCTTCCCAGGGCCGGGCTCTTCTCTCTGCGGGGCACCCGCCAGCCGAGCACTGCCCTGCCCGGCGGCCCCGAGCGCCTCAGGTCCGGCCCGGGCAGCGCCTCGCTCTGCGCAGGCGCCGCTTCCCAGCCCGCCCCCGAGCGCCGGGCCCTGCCTCGCAGTCGCCGCCTGGCGGACACGGCCGGGAGCGGCACTGCAGCCGCGCGCCCCCCCAGTCACCCCCAAGGACCTCAAGGACTCCCGGAGCGCAAATCGGCAAAAATAAACGTCCTGCAAGACCGACGTCGCCTTTCAGAAGTATTTCCTTCATTTTTAAGAACGATAAAGTGCCAAATCAACAATAAACGTTATTTCATCCCTTTGCCAATAATAACCCCGCAGCTTGCCTTCCTTTCTGCGCTGACAGCAGACAGCTTTGGATGCCCTGACGGAAACATTAGACAACACTCTCCAACGTTTCTAAAACCCCACCCACCAACTGACACAGGTCACAAGTTACGAGAGAGACTTCAAGCCACGGGAGGAAAGCTGACAAACAGGTGAAGTTTCAAGGTTTATTGGATTCAGTTATTGTTTCACAGCCAGGACAGCTTTGTCTCAGTGACAAATATATGAAAGTGTCAATTAAAAGAGAGTGAAGAACAAAGAATTAGGCAATGGGACAAAATAAGTAAAAAAACTCAAGTACTGCAAAACACTGAAGATCTTTACTGGGTCACAAATAAGTAGATATCACTGATCTTTTGGGTTTTTTACTGTTTCTGGGAAGAAAGGGAAGTTAGGAGTAAGGTCAGTGAAGGCTGAAAAGCACAATAGAAATTTTTAAGTAGTGGTTTTAAGGGTGGGACAAGCTTTGGGGCTATGTTGTTTTGTTTGTTTTGGTTTTTTTTCCCTTAAATTATAATATATTAGACGATTTTTAATGCTACACTTTAATATTAGATTGCGGAAGATCCAGGGTTTTGCAGCTCATTTTATGGCAGGATCATGCTAAGCTTGGGCAAATATGACTGAAGCTGATGTCAGTTATAGGGAATATTTCAGAGTTAGTTCTTAGGAAGCTATGAATGTGTATTAGCTTTGTGACTACTGTTCTAAGTAATGTTACAGCTGGGATTAGGATTAAGGAACTGAAAAAAGCATCTGGATGAACAGAAATTATTGAGGGATGTTTCAAAATCTGAACAATTCAGATTGCTAAACAAAATCAACAGAAGTCAAAATTATTTGTTTTGTCTTGGAATAACTATGGTACAAGGAAAGATTAGGGTAGTTGTTAGATTTTGTGGTTTATCTGTATTTGAAGACATTACCTATGAAAAAAAAATCATACTTCCTTTATATTTAACCAATCTCAGGTTCTGTGCTCTGTGAGGTCTGGGATAGACATTCTTCTCTGAATCCAGCTATGCCAGTGGATTACATTTTTTCTCAAAACTGTTTTCATTCCCATGCAGTAGGTTACCTCCTTTGCTAGCACTGTACAGCCTATGTGGGCATTCCTGAGAGAGTTGGATTAAGGAGTGCTCACCAGTCTGATGGAGAAGCAACTTCTAGCAAGTACTGGTAGATATAATCTCCTAATGACAAAGCAGGACTCTTGAGAAGACAATCCTCTTCTTTAAGTTGGAGAGAGAATCATATTTATTGCTGCTTTCAATTTAACTTTAGAAGGCAAAACTGAGAAGTTTGGCTATGTTAAAACCTGTTGTACTATCTCCTTTTCCTTTCTGTTTTCTAAAGCTCATTAGAAGGGATCTTTCTTTTTGCATATTTATGTCCACAAAGTTTCTGTAAAGGTATAACAGAATTGTGGCTAATTGCATCCTGTAAAATTAAGACAGCTGAGTCTTACCATTTGGGATATGGCTGCTTCTTGGTAGCATAAGCAAATGACAGATGTGCAGGAAGAAAGTATGACATGAAACAAACATTTATTAAAAAGGACTGTACAGACAAATTAAACAGTTACTCCCACAAGGCACAGGAGTAAAATATTTAAAACACAGAAGCCAATGAAAACACCAGATATTGCTAAAACACATAAATTCTAAAATGTAAACCTATGCTGGAGGAATTTGAAAACTGCAAAATAAAGGAATAAAGCACTTTACTTAAAGTGCTAGTGAAGTCTTACTTTTTTTAATAGCATGCTGTTTAGATAATACATCCATGTCTATTCTTTCAAATTTAGTTTCTGTAACTTGAAGCCACTGTCAGGTTAGGTCAGGTCGTGTTTAGAAAGTGAATGTGGAATTCAGGAAGTGCAAGTATTAAAATTCGCCTTAGTATTTTCTCTATAGTTAGTGGGGTCCTTGGCACCAAAGTTTAAAAAACTGATGTATCTCAGCTTGGGTATGAAAATTTCTATAACAAAGTATTTAGACACAGTACAGTGTTCACATCCTATTACCATGAGCTCAAAGTGGTGGCAGGGTGAAAAGCCTTGGGGTTTTTTTGGGGTTTATTTTGTTGTTTTGTTTGGGGGGTTTTTGTGGTGTCTGGTTGCAGAACAACAGGACTATCATTTGAGGCAAGTGAGGAATCAGGAGGAGATCCTGGAAAACCATCTGTACCAAGAGGATCCAGTTATTTTGTTGTCACTTTAATACCCATTTAAAAAAGGAATGATAAAGACAGGGTTAAACCAGATTTTAGTAAATATAAAAGTCTTGCAAGCTTTGTGGAAGGTCTCATTGTGACTATTAAGAGAATTGAACCCAAGTTAGAATAAATTTAAGCCAAACAAAGAAGTATCCACAAAGACCTTAGCTACAAAAGAAGAGTAAAAAAATTCATGGAGCAAAAAAGCAGTAGACTTGTGGTGAGAACTGTACTTCAGACAGCTTCCTCCTCTGTCTAAAAAAGAAGAAATCAATATTTCATAATTATTCCTCTAGTCTCTGAAGAAATTTGCCTGGGAGAAAAGAGCCCAGGGCTGTCACAAGAAGAGCTCTTCACTTAAACTTATGTCATTATTCTGTGAGAGAAAAGAATACTCTTGCCTTATGAAAGACACTACCTCCCTCCCTGCTCCCACCCCCATGATCCCTTAATACATAATACATATTCTGTCTCCTTGAAATAGTTAGGGTCATCTCACATTCGAAGGGACCCATAAGGATCATCAAGTCCAATCCCCCACTCCTTGCAGGACTACCTGGCATTAAACTCTATGACTAAGAGTGTCATCCACGTGCTCCTTGAACTCTGACAGGCTTAGTGCCTCGACCACTTCCCTGGGTCACTGTACCAGGGACCAACCACTCTCCTAAAGAAGAGCCTTTTCCTAATGTCCAATCTGAACTTCCCCTAATGCAGCTTCACTCTATTTCCTCATGTCCCGTGGCTGGTCATCAGAAGGTGGAGATCAGCACCTCCTCCTCTGCTTCCCCCTTGAGGAACCTGTAGGCTGTGATGAAGACACCCTCCAGCCTTCTCTGCTCAAAACTGAACCAGCCAAGTGACTTGAGCCGCTCCTCAGAGGTCTTGTCCTTGAGACCTTTTGCAATCTTGGTCACCCTCCTCCTCCGGAACACTATAAATAGTCTGATGTTCTTCTTGCACTGAGGCATCCAAAACTGCACACAGCACTCAAGGCCTCACCAGTGCAGTGTAGAGTGAGACAATCAGCACTCTTGACCAGCTGGTGATGCTGTCCTGACGCACCCCAGGACACAGCTGGCCCTTCTGGCTGCCAGGGCACTGCTGACTCATCTTCAGTTATGCTTGTTTTCAGCAATGCATGCTATTCATATGGCAGAACTTCGTAAAGGATGTGCAAACAAATCTCTAAATACTAGTACATCATTGATGCAAACACAGTACTCTTTTTTTAAAAAAACCCCTAACCTTCTTAAACACAAGAGCACAAGAGACTACTTTAAAAAAGTAAAAATACAAGACTGTTGTACTAAATCAGTTAAGTGGTGCATCCTTAAGCATACTTCAGTTTAGAGATCCCCCAAGAAAGAAAGAACCTGGTAAATTAACAATGAGTGAGAGCAACCATGACTAACCCTATTTCAGAACTCTAAGTCAAAATTACTACAAATCAATCCTTCTATTTGCACTACTTCATTGCAGACCATTTGCCTGCTCCATTGTCACTACTTCTTAAATTTATGTACAACTACCATCAAAGTATGCTGCTCTCATGCATGTACTTTGGGGGAGTCCACGTACTTTTATCTTAGTGTACGTTTTCCCTTCAACTTGCTAGGAACTGCTCTGAACAGGACACACAGCATGTGACCACTGACACTCAACAGCAGAATCCATTATCTGTGCTACAAGACATGCATAATGCATTACTGCCATTTGGAGCATGGAGTCAGACTATCTTCCATTATTGCTATCTCAGAGAGACCAAATCCCAGTAATTCAGCTAGCAGAATCTGCTCTTCACATAATTTCAGGGGTACATGGTCCACATTCTGTCTCTGCTGTTGACAGATGTTCATATGGCTATGAAACATTAAAATGAGAGAATACCTCATGAACTTGGCATAAGTTACAGGACTATATTCAATAAATCACTCGTGTACTTTGTGGCAGACTTGGGAAATTAATGATGGCATATGTGATTTGGCCAGCAAAAATGCATTATGTGGATTTATTACAGTTGCCAGTGCCCTGTTCTTCCTGTTTAACAAGCCAAATTTTCAATATAACTACTCCAGCATAATAGTAGAGAAGAACTTGAGCTAAAGAGAGAAGAATGTGAACAAGCAGTTCCTGCTTCCTGAAGTTAGTGAAAAGAATATTTAATACTCAAGATTAATTTAGACAATGAAGGCAGTGACAAAAATGGGATTGGAAATGAGTAAATTTCAAGCCCTGTTTCTGTAAGTGGGTCACTGTCATCCTCCCCATTGGAGGAACTGTTGTTACATTGGGTGAAACAAAGTGAAGACATGGATCCAGGGAGGGGTCTACTCTGGACGCCTTAGTCAGGGTTCTTTTGGCACACATAGAGCAGGAAAAACACTGGCCTGAAGTAAAGCTTACTTGCAAATGACTATTAAGGGACACAAAAATAGAAAGTTTTGGTTAAGGGAGGACGATGACACCAAAGCCCAGTGGTTCCGGTGAAATACATAATTTTTAGTTGACACTGTTCCTCGTGCATGTTACTGAACTTTCCTATGCTCCTGTGGAGGATAAGTCTGCCAGGGGAGACTTTGGCTGTAGAAGCCAGGAAGACAGCAGAATTGCTGATGCTGCAGTCTGTGCACAGAGACATCTGGGATATTTCATGCATGTTACCTAGAGAACCACAATGTGCAGGTTGGCCATAGAGCCTAGGAGGACCTCTAATATAGTTCACTTGAGCCTTGTTCTTAAGTCAGTCAGTCTTTTGACTGCTGAAAATAATAACCTATTAAGATGCTGAAGCACAACAAATCACATAATTTTTAGAAATTCATACATAGCCATCAACTTTCCAAGTTTCAAGTCAAGTTTCAGGGAATGGTACAATCAAACTCCAGTAAATCAAAATTCATGTGTGTCATTAATGCACTGATTTTCTGTATAACCTATCTTGTTTCCCCTAAACATTTCCTGTATAAAAGAGTTCTACTGGCTACACAAACCTATGCAGTCTTACCAGCCTGGAAAACAAATTGTTTGTTTTTCAGTGAAACAAACAGACTGCTATTTCAGCACTTCAAATAGTCTCCTGTTATCAGGAGAAAATAGAAAAAAAATTTTAGTAACATCTGGTTTTTAAAGAGAGAACATAAAAGCATTTGTGGTCATCACATTTGGCCAACAGAAATAGCCTGACTTGCACAAAGAATTTCAGTTTGTTTAGGAGTCCAAAAGATGGAACAACTGAAATGTTAAACTGTAGCACCAGTAATACTTACTTTCCTGAAACCAAACCCTAAGGACCAGAAGGAACTTAGAACAGGAACATTGTGCTTATATTGCATTAAATAGAAGACAATAAGACAGTCACACTTGAATCTGCACTTCAGTAAAGTCTGGGCACATTTGCAGTTCTACTGGAAGATTACTGGAACAGGTCACACAGCTTGGCAATCTTCTCCATTTCATTCGTCCTGTTTCCTCTTGGGCTTTTTGGGATTCCGGGATCGACTCTTTGCTTTGCAGAGTGGACATATGGGCGCATTCCGATGAATTTGTTGGTGGCACGATAAACATGCCTGAAATGCAACATTGCAGGCTCTTGTTACAGACATTTAAGCAGTGTTGTTACATGAGTTATTGAGTACCATATTCTAAGTTACAGTACAGGCAAAAATAAGTCTTCTTGCCTTCAAAGGCAAACCACTGCTACATTCTATACAATCTAGGTATCTGGATTGTACAGTAATTTCAGGCCAAGTGAAAAACTGGAGTATTTAATTGAATTAAAACTACAATTCCGCAGACATGTGGTTCATACATCTATCAGTAAATTCTATTTTGTGTTAAATGTTCCAATGAGGTGTTTACATGCATAATAGCTCAGAGAAGTTACAGTGAAGGTTAATTGTGATGTCACAGAATTTCAGGCAGGAGCAAGTGATAAGATGAATTCCACCTATTTAACACAAGATACAGAACTCTGCCTTTTTGCTCCATACTAAGCCCTTTAATTTCCATTTGACTGAAGCATACTACTTGCAGAAAAGCTTTTCAATTGCCTAACTACAGATAGTAAGTATATAACTATGGAATGTATCTACATCAGTTTGCTACTTAGTCAGTGACTCTTTGAAACCTTGGCAGGATGAGTACCTCTATGGAATTACTTAGCTCTTCTTACTACAGAAGGAGCAGAGTAAAACTGTCACTTAAGTGCCTGTGGTTAGTTTAAGTTAATCTCAGTGTTAGTCTTCAAGATCCCAAGTGCAGAAACAATCATCTTTTCTGGTAATATATACCATCAGTAATTTCCCTCATAAAATATGTGCATTGCTTCTAATATGACTCTGTATGGCATTAACTAACAGCTACTTGTTTTCCTCTTGCCAAGGTTTTTTTTTCTTTTTTACATGACTTTCTCCCACGTGAAACACAAGAGGAGTGGGAATTGCCTAACATCTCTGCTGATAGAGACTCCTAAGTCATAAAAGATTCTTGTCCTTAACCCTGGATGTCTGATGCTACTACTTTAAGTCTAATGGTTGTTCTTGATTTGAACCACTGCAGGGAAAATCAGAATCAGGACACATAATTTTTCCTTTTTGCAAATACCAATCAATTTCATAAACATAATGTGTTCCAATGGCAAAACAGAAAACCCAGCACATTTGTCTCCTGACCTTCATTGGAGGTGGCTGTTGTCTGAAAGTTGCTGTCTGTCTGGTATCTTGTTTTCTAGCCACTTGCAGCTGTTGGGCAGCTGCTGCAGCTGCAGCCAGAGACTCTGGGATGGGAGGCTCCTGTGGCTCTGTCTGCCATTCTGCCTTCTGCTTTTCAAAGTAGCTAGATGGAAGAATAACAACGAAAAAATGTAACTGCCTTCTGGGGTATTTCATTAGTCTGTAAAGGATATTTTGTGTTAAAATACAATGGATCACATTTCCCTATGATGTTCCTCTGGAGTCAAACTGCCTACACTTAAGACTAGTTCATAAATAGAGCTGGTAGTACTTTTCTCTGCATTTGTACACTTCAGCCAGATTCCAGATTGTCAGCTTCTAAGGTATCTTGACGTACAACTGAATATAAATCTAATCCAATCAAAAATAGACAACAGCTTCAGATGCAAATCTGTCAAAGAGTTTTTCTGTTTTATTCTGTTAAAATGAATAACTTTTGTAGGCAGTAAATAAATAGATTCTTTGTAGTGTCAAGGTGTTTGGAATGTAAAACAACATTTCTAAAGAAATACAAAGGAAATCTTGAAAACTGTGTGCCTGTGAAAATTATTTTAATTATGCTGGGCATTAAGAGAAATATAAGCTTCTTAAAACATCCCTTGCATTTAAAACTGATCTGTTAAACAAAAGACATTGTTCTTTGAATAGTAGCTAATTCTATCACTCTCCCCCACCTAGTTTATACTTTTCCACAGCTTGGATAAACTAATTTGTTGAGAGTCTTAGGGTTAGGGTTAAATGCCATTGCCCTCAGCAGGCAGCAAAAAGTAAAATTCTGACTAGCAGCAGCACAAACTAATTGAAGAATACTTGTTTTTTATCCTTCTCTTGTATTGCCTCCTACTATTGCTTGCTAAACAAATAATTTTCAGGGGAAAAAAAAAAGTTGCTAGAAAATGCAACATGTAGTATAAAAATCTAGACAGCCAACCACCCCTGAATTTTTTCATGTCATATGTAGACTTTGCAGCTTGAAAAAATCTAAATTTACCTTGCAACAAGTTCAGACTGAATGTTATCAAATACATGTCTTCGCACATTCCTTTTTTGTTAACTTTTTTGTTTTTCATGCTTACCTCTTGAGTTCTTTTTTCCACCTACCAACAAAAGTAAAATGAGAAAATGACCAGTAGAATTGAGAAAAAGCATAAAGCCAGATAATGTTTACTTTGGAGACTTACTCAAGGGACAGTTTTTCCTCCTCCTCACATAGATCTGGCAGCCTCTGCAATCCCAGAGTCATTCGCAAAGCATCTACGTGCTCCTTTAGGGGCTTGTATTCCTCATGCAGGCGACGAGTAGATTCCAAAAGCTTGTTAAGATCATTCTCAGACTGCTTGATAGTATTCTCCATCTGAAATGGGAGGATGGGCATGCTTGTAAAGAACTGTCCCTCTCTGACTGAGCAAGAGACTGTATCAGAAAGAAGAGATTTTTTTTTACGCAAGCTGGAAGAGATTGGAGACAATGCAATAGTAGAGCAAACAGTTAAGGTATTGGGAGGACGAAAACTGAGCAAGGAAGAAGCAACAGAAAGTGATATATGAGATACATTTTCATTTAAAAAAGGTACACTCAACCTATATGACCTTCTGAACAAAGAAGCAGCAGGTAGACAGGCTACAGATAAAGTCGGCAAGTGAGGACTGATGGAAAACTCTCAGCAGACATTAAAAAAGAAATTAAGGTAGAACAAAACTAATTTTCTGTGTTTCTAAGATATCTGAACACCAACTGTCAGAAGTTAACAAACAAACAAGGAAAGGTTCCTGTTTCTCTTACTGCAGTAAATGGGAAAAGCAGCAGAGAAAAAGACAATCTGACTGGAAAAAGAAGGGAGGATGAAACAGAGGTTGAGGTTATGCAGTTAGATAGGGGAATGGACATTTCAAGAGATAAAGAAATGCAGTCTGCACATCCAGTATATAACTTGTACTTGTTTACAGTGTGGGAGCTGTTTTGCTCTGGTGCAAAGCAGAGATATCTTCAGAGCTAGAAAGCACTAAGCAATCATGCAAGTGACCTAACATGACATAAAAAATGCACATTTAAAAAGATATTCCCTATTTAGCCCCTCTAATTGGTTCATCTTCCCTGTTTATAAATTGTTTTTCACTTCTTTGTATTAATTCCCTTCAGGCTGGTGCTTCTTGTTGTTTGGTGGTTCCACTCAGTGATGAAGGTCAGTTCTTACTAAGAACTTAAAAAATACCATGCATTTTCTCAAAATATTTCTTCCCAAAACCTCCAGTCAAAAGTCCCACCTAGCTGCTAAAGTTTCTCTGTTTCTGGGTGCTCAATGAGAAAAGCCTAACAGGAAGAACAGTTTTCTGTGGGACTGCTGGAGTGACGTTATTGTGGATACTGGTAAAGTCATAGCCAAAATAGGCTTGGTTATCTTTCCTCTTGGTGCAAGTGCTTACTATGCCAACATTACAAAATATCCTGCCCAATACAGGAAAAAAACAATTACCCTGCAGTAAATTTACTTTGCACTCTGTAGGATCCTAGGATGATGTTGTAAAGTCCAGATTATTGAACCAGTGATAGTTCACTGATGTGCACAATTCCACAGCCTGTGGAATGATTCATATGCCACTGTGTCTTAGTCAGACTGTCTGCAGCTGGACTGTTGCATACCACATTAATATCAGCGTGGATCAGTCGCAGCTCCTCCACATGGGCCATCTTCTCTTGCAGCAGCAGGTCCATTTCCTGTTTATATTCCTTCAGATGCCTCTCCTCAGACTCCAGGGCTTCAAATTCTGCTTTCAGTCGTGCCTTTATCTTTTCCATCTGCAAAGTCTTATTCCTGAATCCCAGTGGTAATTAAAAATAGAGAGACAACAGTAAGTCACTGAAACATATTTTTGTGAGGTGTCACTTTATATGTGATTAGATAGATGGAAGAAGGCAATAGCAGCAACAGACAAGGGTGAAACTAAATATGTCTGAGAAAGGTGAGGTACAACGAGAGTACTGAATTCTAATCCCAGCTCTTTTGCTGAGCTTCTCAATGCTATGAGAATTCTTGTACTGAATTATGAAATTAATAGAACCTTGTCAGATTTTTACAGTTACTGTAGATTCAGAGAATGTGTACCAATTGAATTCTACTGCATCAGTTGACCATAGTTCCAAAATAGAGAAATGCAGAAAATCTAGGTTTAGCACAGGATTCTGAGAAATGTAAAATGAACTGTAGATAGAATTCAGGTATGTAGCTACAAATAGCTACAACATCGTATTATTTAATGTCATTGGAGTTGCTGTGTCATTTACTACACAATGACATATACAGTCTGAATGTAAATATTGAACTTAAACCAGTAAAAAGAGATCTTCTCTACCCTCCACTTTACATGTGGCAGTATCCACTAACCTAACATCTACTCCTCTTTTCATCAAATCTCGTTGTTCTCATTTATTTAAAACACTTATTTAGTAATGGCAGCTTTGATTACTGAAACTGGGAGTATTTGTCCTCAATTTATTTCCTGTTTCCTCTCCTGTATTTATTACATGTGTTCACCTAAAGACAATGGAAATAGATCTATTTCCTCACTGCTACTAGTCACTGGTGCCATGCTCTGCCAGATTGCTACAACAAATGAGTTGCAGGGGCTTGTTTCAGTCCAGATGATTAGCTTTTGACATTAGGAAAGAAAAAGTGCACACAAATTGCAACTCTTCCTGTTAGCATCAGGCAACATGCAGTAATTTTTAAAACAGGAATCATAAGTGTGATCTCTAGACTGCCTAATGAATTTTGCCCTCATATTTTTTCCCTTCTATTTAAGTTCTTATACTGCATTAATGACAGTAGTCACTAAATGTGTCCCAATAGGGCATTAAACAGTGTAACTAGAATCTCCCATCGATATATTCATTCTCATTCTCTTTTAGCTCCTCCTAGCCAGAACACTGAGTCTTTAGGCATTTGTTTAATTTTATGACTGGGGTTATTTCTGTGGAAGTATTTAATGCATAAAAGTAAGCATGTGCATATATGTTTGGATTGTGGGCATGAAACACATTTACTGAAAACAGTATTCCCATGACTACAAATTATATGTATTTATCTACAGATACAGATATAGATATAGGTCTTCAAAATCAGATCTCAGATTCAAAATCAGATTCCTGAATCCCTTCAAAAACCCAGCTAAGCTGCCTTTAATAAGAGACGGAGATAAATGTGCCTAGGAACGGACGACTTCTTTGATTTTGATTGTAAAGACTTTTTTTCCTCTGTATGTAGAATACATGGAAAGCAGAACAAAATAAAGTCTGCTAAATCTATCAAAAGTGAGTTGGTAAACATAAGAAATTCTCATGTTTATTCTGAAGAAAATTCTTCGCAGAATGCGAAACTCCTTTTAAAAGATTTGGGGATGAATAAATAGGTTAATTGGATCAGATTTTGTTAAAGGTGACTCAAAACAGACATCAATATTGCAAGTAGGCTTGACCTTCTGATATTGATTTTTTTTTTTATTTAACATACATTCAAGCAACTTTCTTGATACTTCCTTGTACACTTAAGCTAGTAACATCACCTTTACACTACCTTATGCCACAAAGTAATAACAAAAATCTGTTAACTGCAGTTTACATATCACCTTTGAATATACTATCAGAAAACTGAGTGCACTGTGAATTTCCAAATACAGGATACTACTCTGAAAAAAGTAATTTAAATGAAGTGTAACAATAATTGGACCACAAACTGTAGCAGGCCATACCTAGATCAGTATTTTAAAACAGAGTCTGCCTAACAGTTGATTAGAAAAGCATTCTTCTTAGACTGTAAAGTATTTGTTGTCTTTCTACAAATAGTTTGGGTATTCTAGACAAATATTTTTGCCTGATCTTTGTTCACCTTTGTGGTATTGCGTAAAGAAGGCTGAGGCCTACACTTTAATTCACTTTTTCCATGTGTAAAGTGTGCTTCTTAGAGATGCTGTTACCAGCCAGAAGTCTCTATGACCACCTGCACATACTGCCAGTGGTAATGCCTTCACCCCCAGTCCTCTCTCCTCGCTCCCTGATAGCCCCTCTCCAGTCGAAATGTCCTTCTCATCGCCCCAAGGTTACCCACAGTCAGCATGCCTTCCACCCCCCAGCTACTTTCAAAATCACTGTCCTCTGTAGTGTGTTTTGGCTTTTGGATGCATGAATTCCTACTAAATATAAGCAACTCAGGCCTAATCCTCAAAATCTGTGCCCTTAGCCAAAGAGTGGCAATGCCCTACCTAAAGCTATGAAAAATGTCCCCGATGCGGGAACGTGTGGTACCATGCCTGGCTGTTCAGGAGCCCCCTCTTCCACAGCAGCCTGTGACTCCGCCTGCGAACGACGCCATATACAAATTCCTGGTGTATCGCCTTGCACGAACCGCAGAGCGAGGCAACTCCGGCCCAGCGGCAGGAGGGGACGGCAGAAAAGCCTCGGTCCGCTGCGTCCCCGGGGATCCCCAGCGCCCCGGGGCGGCGGCCAAAAGCAGCAGGTAGGGAGATCTCCCGGCCGCCTCCACGCCCTCGGGCGAGCGGGAGCGCAAGGCAGGGCAGAGAGAAGCCGCCAAGGTTCAGCTGCTCCCTGCACGGATCCCTCGCACGGATGCCCGGGGGGCAGAGCTGGCCCTGGCATCGCCCGCCGGGGGGGATGAGCGGCTGCCCCGCTCGGGGGGCTCCGCCGGTGGCCGCAGTGCTGCCCGGCCCGGCCCTGCCCAAAGGCACGTCCGCCCTCGGCTTTCCATGTCAGACTCTGCTTTCCGTGCCATGCCCTACCTTTTGCAGCCCGTCAAGGCTCCTGCCCGGGCGTCAGGGCAAAATGAGAGATTCAAGACAGAGCCTCAGGAATATTAAATAATAAGTCAAAGAACTTAAAACCAAACAAATCACCACAACACCCGCGACCCCCCAGCTGCGTTAGGGCTGCTCCGTCCTTCCCATCACTCCGCCTCCTCATCACTCAGGGAAATTTCTCTGGAAATGCACGACCGTTACCGTCCTTCACTACGCATTCCAGCATTAATTACCAGCAGCAGATGCTCCTTCCCTGCTTAGAAAAATGTATTTTGAGCTCTCATCGTAAACCCAGCGGTAGTTTTCTTTCCCTCAGTAACACAATAGCTAGTTTCAGATTGATGCATGTCCTCCGCTCCCCCGAGGAAAAAGCTGCTTTATGTAACTGATGAGGCACAAAGCAAACATACCTGATCTCCTTAATGCTCTCGAGTTTGCACATTATTTCTTGCTCATCTGCCATGCTTTTCACTTCCGATTTAAATCTCTTGTGAAAGGTAAAAAATGCCAAGGGAAAATTAAAAAAAAAAAAATAAAAAAAAAAAGAAGAAAAAACATACAATAGACACAATGTGGTCACCCCCTCCTCGCATATGGGCTCTGAGCCTGTGCAGGAGACTCTAGTGGGAGATATGGGAATTAGAGTCCAGCTTCCTATTGCTGCCGAGGCAAAGAGCCTGCAGAGAGACTACAACACCCACAAGGCAGAGCAGAGCTTGCCTGCCCTTCTTCCTGCAACTACATTTTAAATCGATTTGTCAAACTTCATTATGTTAAAGGTTGTTAGGAGTGCAAAAAGAGGAGAAGGCTTCCTTCTGAGATCTGTGCAATGTTTAGCTTTTCATTAAAATAGGCACTAAAAGACTGTTGAATGGGTTCGTGATTTTGATTAAAAACTTGGATGCGAAGGTAAGCTGTAGTCATAATTACTGTCATACTGTTTTGTATTGGACACTCCCAGTGATGCAACTGATTGGAGTTCAGAAAGTACAGATTTTGTTCTTTAGGTTTTTCTTTCTTTTTCTGCAACTGTACATAGTACTTGTAATTATTAAAAAAAAAACCAACCCCAAACCAAATCAAAACAAAATGGAAAAAAAACTTAAACAAACCTTAAGCAAATAAAACTCTTAGTTTGAGGAAAGTGACTATTTGTCTTTCTACAGACATTCTAGCCAAGAATAACAGAGCACTTTATAGAGCTTGCTGAATAGACCTTCAGTCTTTCCTTAGCCAGGTAATTATTCCTCTTTGCCTTCTGTAACGTACTAAGCACTGCGTTTTAAATTATGAAGGTAACAGTTGTATCTCTACACTTTGAAAGGTCTCTTCCAGGATCTGTTGTAAGAGATCCATGGTGTAAATTCACAATCATGACCTGTATGTCCAAGCATTTAATCTGGGGTTTCCCAGCTCTCATGGTCATGCTGGGCTGAAGCATCAGCACATTAGAATGAATGTTAAGCTCAAGGTCTCGACAATCTGTAGGGAAACTGGATTCTGCAAACATAAACTTGTGTGCTACAAATGTATAAGCAGCAGTACCATAGTCTTAGCAAATATAACAGTCAGTAGCATGAGGCTGATGAGAACAGGGTAATTTTTCTGAAATATATTACAGAAATGTTATATGGAAGGCACTGGAAGTATTTAACTTCTACTCAGCACTGATCAAACTTGCTGGTGTCTCATCTGAGGCTCTGAAAAGGAAGTGAAAAATTAAAATGGACAGAATGCAAAGGAGAGCAATGAAAATGATAAGATTTTTGGGGAACACAAAAGATGGTTGAATACAAGACAGTATGGACATATTTACATGGCAAGTGGTAGCTGTGCTTGAGTTAGGGCTTCCAGTCACATTGCTGAATGTCCTGAGCCAATTGCTTCTACAGTTACAGACTAAGGGCAAGTGGTCCCCCTCATTTATGAATACCTGTGCCCAGAAAGCCAGCAAACTAGAGTATGAAATAACAAGGAGTTCTTTTCTTCATTATTTAAGGACTTTGGTCTATGTTTTTGTGTTTTTCAGTTAAAGGAAGATGAAGGAAAATGGTGATAGGCATCAGCACCCCCTTCATCATGCCACAGTTTTTGTAAAGAAATCAGAACTTAAAAAGCCTGATCCTCATATAATTTGAGTCAATTGCAAACTCTTGCTACCTTAAAAATCGAAGACTGTCAGATTGAGCCCTAAGTGAGCTGTGTGCTCAGAGGGGGCAGGCTTCTTCAATGCATGACTTAAATAGATGAACTAATTAGTTTGAGGGGGTAGAAGACAAGTTAGCTATAGTCAGTCAGTGAATCTTGATGCTAAGACAGTGAGGGAATGAGAGCTGGTAGGGTGAGGACATAAGAGGGAGAGAAGGAAAATGCCCTCGAACAGGAGGGCAGCCTACTTTTGCACTGTTTATCCTGTTTATCCTATTTTTTAATTTCTGGTTCTACAGGCTAAACTAAAATGTTGAGGACAGAAAATGAAAATGCAAATTCAATTTGTTACTTTACTCTGCTTTGAATGACATAAAGAAAACCACTCCATGGTGTTATACCTTAGCTGGAAGTTGTTAGGAAATAAACCTACCCACAAGCATTAACAATTATTTTTTCTATCCATGTTTAAAAAAAGGACAGAAAAATATTACATCTCCATATTTCAAAGTGGTCACAAAGTTTGATACTTGCAGTTCAAGCACATACAAATTGGTAGCATTCAACTTGTGCCTCATGGCTTCTTTCAACTGTTTTAATGTCTGTGTTTCAATTTTCCTTGTATACAAGTGGGTCTGACAGTTCTTTTACATGATCCCAAATCACCGCACTGATGTGTATTGTCTATTCCGCTGCTATTTATAAATTTTGATATGTGTGATCCAAATAAGGATCAGTTTTTCCCAGCACACAGATTAGATTTTTCAAAGAAAGCTTCAGACTTAAGCACAAAAATGAAAAAATATTGAAAAAATATTTCACATGATCCTGAAAAATTCAACCTTGTTTCTATTTGATCTTTTCTAAACCAACAGGTAACAAGTGGATAAATTTCAAAACAAGTTGCAGTATTATGCAGAATGAAATTAATGCTAAAATACTACCCTACTTCATTGAGCACAGGATTGCATTTTTGTACATAAAAAAACTAGCTGCTTCCATTTAACAGTCTTACATCAGTCCACACACTTCATCATTGTGACAACAAATCTAGTGCAGAACAATTCCAACTGCAAGAATGATTTTTTTTTTCCGCCTAGGTAATCACCCTAGCTACAGCAATCAATTCTACAAGTCTGGATGGCAATGTAGGTCCCTTCTACTTGAACTATTAATATTCTAACCAAATTTTAAAAAATTGTGCTACATGTTTTATGAAACAAATAGCATTTAAAGAAGTATTAGAGGTTAAAGACCAATGGAGAAGATTCCCCAGTAAAACATACAACAGAACTGAACTTTGGCTAATATACTGCTGGGTTAGGTACAAGTCACCACCATGGCAGAATGTGTAGCAGTGTTGTCAAACCTAAACATCAGAGAATGGATGAGTCAAAATGGTGCATCCCAAGTTGTGAAATTTGCTTTAAATTCCTGAGTTTTTTAAAAGTAAATAAATTCTTTCTGTATATCATTGGGTTTTTGAGCTTTCAAAATGTACTCCTCACAGTTGCCAGATTTTTTTCCTGCAAGTGGGCTATCCCAATTGTACTGGTCCAGTTCACATTTTAAAGGAAAGCTGATACTGGTTTCAAGACGCTTTGGAAAGCTGAAGGTAGTCACCAGCAACACTGAAACTGATAGGAGGCAACTACATGCTAGCCCTGAGATCTGCAGAGCATCTACTCTTCAAATATCAGTGTTTCATGCAAATGCTGAAGCGCTCATTTAGATCCTACAGAACTAAAGGTCTAAGTACCTGCATATGTTAACCTTGGCTTATCCCAAAACTAGGTCTAAATATATCTGCGTTTAGTCATATCCTTTATTTCATCCTCCATCCCCATTCCCATGACCTGCAAAACTGGAAAAAGACAGTGTTTTTATAGAACGTCTGCCATCCTCTCTGTAAGCCGCCTCATCTTGTTTCAGCCAGGAGGTTAGATGTCCGTAGGGGACAACGCCAAGGGAGATGTCTCCCTTTTCTCATTCTCTTCCGAAACCCGAGCCCACATCCCCCTCGCGGCTGGCTCCCACCACACGACAACCCCCAGCAATCAGCCGGTGGTGCCCGGCGGGAGCACGAGCTGTCGCCGTCCCTCTCTCCGTCCCCTTCCTGCACCCTCCCGTTCCCTTTCCCGGCCCTGCGCTCTCCCGTTCCCTTTCCCGGCCCTGCGC